CAAAAATATAAAGACTTGTGGGACTTGAATAATAAAAGTTTATAAAAGCAGCATCCCCAATAGATCTTTCACCCCAATTCAGCCTTTACTCTCCTATTACTGTGAGACATTGCACTGGGAACAAAGTATTTCATAATTTGTCGCTTGGATAAACGCAATATCCAGGCGTAATAACATCAGAATCCGGTACAGTATAAAATTCTTAGACGACAAGACCCGGCAATGTCTGACCAAGACGGTTTGAGCCTCCTTGATCCAACTGTATCCTCTCTGGCCGTCTTCACATTACGACGCTAAAACCGGCGATCCAGGAGAGCTGCATACGTCACACCTGGTCCGCGCGTATTCGTGATAAGTCTTTCCTTTAGAAACCGTGCTCCAATGCAAGACGGCTTGGCTGTCTTAACTTGCATCAACGTACTTGGTAGTTTGATTAAAAGACGCGTCGTACCAATGTCAGAGGTTAACGTCCTTCTTGCTCGGTCCCCCCGCCCTCCCTCCCAGCGTCCGAATGCGGTGGACCTCGTCCTAGAACGGACACGTTATTCGGTCATCACCACTTTTGGAGATGTCGTCGCATACCGTTTTGTATATGTACTGCATATAGATAAACAAATATGACAGTGTAATCCATGACCCGGTGAGGATGCAAACTGAACCGGTGAAGTAACATCGCGTTCAATGAGGTTGCAATGCGCTGAAGCCGGTTCGAAATTATCTCCCAGAGGAGGTTTGGGATCGAACTGGTTTCAATATGACTTGTAGCGTTCAGATGTAGCCGCAATAAATTTCGTAGTATCTGATCCCAGCCCGGAAAAGAACAACAAACAGCCATGCCTTCAAATATCAGAGTTATCAACCAAGAACTGAGGTGTTCAAAAATTTGCCAAGAACTATCGTAGAGTGGAACTCGTTGCCACCAAGCACAGTTGGGGCATTAGCCACCAAGCACAGTCTCCTGCATCATAAGTCGTTCGATGTGATCAACTCCTGCACACAAGTCGTTCGGTGTGGTATATATGGTGTGTTACGCAGCTATACCGATATAGATACAGGTACAGATCCGGCATCGGTGGATTTGGGCTTCAAACACACTGGCTCAGTGTGGAGGGGGCCATGTGTCCGTTCTTTCAGAAACGAATTGGCGATGTGAGTCTCATGTTCGCATTAGATTATAGTCCGTTGTTTCAGAGACGAATGGGCGATGTGAGTCTCATGACGCCACTAGATTATAGACCTATGCGTGGGCGTTAGAAGCAGTAATGTTTACACAATACGCGCCCACCATGTCCTCAGAGCCACAGTACGGTATGCAGACATCAGGTACATCCATGTCAGGCAGCTAGTGACAGACACACCCCGCAGCTTTACTGAGCGTTATCCTCACAAGTGGAACGCGATGTTCAGAAGTATATGTCATGAGAGGTGAAGTACATGTAACACAGTATGAGGGCCGTCATTGTGCGAGCAGGAGCAGACAAGCATATCAAGAATATCTTACATTCAGTAGAGTATAACGGTTAATTATTAATGGCTGAATCGCCTGCCTTTTGTTCCAGTCTGTCGTTCTCATGTTTCTTGTTCAAACGGTGAATTTGACGAATACTACTCTATAGCTTAAAATGCCCCGGTCCAATTTTTAGATCTGTCAGATACATGTAGCTCTATCTCTGTATGCTTGACCGGCCGCCTTTCTGTCAGCGTCAATAAGAAGGTAATGCATCTTCCATCAGGAATATTTCACTTCTAATACCGAGCTTTTAGAAGGGAATCGTGCCTTGCTGAAAGATCCAATGGTGGGATTTGAATTTTACTTTACCAGTCCTGATAAATATCTTCCTACAATAGAATGCTTTCAAACTTGGTTGGTGGGAGGTGAGATATTTACACAACGCGTACACAAAAGGATTCCATGCTTAAATAAATCATATCATCAACTCTAGAACGTTGTTGTATGTTGAAAGCTAAGCTTGAAGAGATCTAAGCCCCTGTTAGACACAGGTATGGCCTCCCTACCACCATGTATGGTCTCGAGTAGGTCGGGAGCAAGGTCGGCTGTGGTTGGCTGGTGTTCGGCGAGGTTGTCTACCGTTCGGCTGTGCCAGCCAAAATTCTTCAAACATTCGGGAGTGGGCGTGAGGTTGGGCTATGGTTGGGGAGTGATTGGCTTGTGGTTGGGAGTAGGTCTGCAGTGGTCAGGGTGTGGTTGGTAGTCCATTTGACTCAAATTTAACTCAATTTTGATTCGATTCGTATAGAAAGGAAAGCGTGGCCTATATTTGATTGAAGTTTGACTGCTCCTGAACTTCAGCCTTAGTTGGTTGTTGGTCGGGGGAAGGTTCTGAATGTGTGGCAGGGGCTTACGGGGAATCTAACGTTCAGCATGAATGTGCATTACCCTGACTAACGGCACAGTGTGTGGATATAACATGTTGAGTACAACAGGCGGGATTTAGGCAGAGAGCATATTCCCAGCGCCACAGACAGACTAACACCACGGCTGGTAAAGAGCTATCTATAAGTCTCCTGAGTAGCCGGGCTCAGCTAGATGAATGTTCCGCGAATCCCATCCGCGGGTGAGGCGGCGGTCGTCATCTCGGTAGCGGCAACCTGCACTTCTTCAGCAGACCGACTCCCCTGGCATGCTATCTGTCTGATTGGCCAATTTCTACCCTTTTCAGCCTGGTAGAGGCTACAGAAACACTGGTCTTTTCACGGTGTATCAATCATTAATAAACCAAGCAGAGACAATTTGTCTTACAATCCAGGCTCAAGACGCCTCAGTATAATAAGCGTGTGAAGCTCTATTCTATGAAAGAGCATAAAACTGATATATGATGAACATGTTCTCCCTGTTGATGTGACAGGGTGTAATAGTGATGACGAATGTGTAGAGAGGATGGCCAGGAGCGGGTGCGTTTCCAGACGGACCCCCGGAGTGATAATGTGTTTTACCATTCACAGGTTGCCCTTAGCGACATTGTGTGCCCGCACTCTGTAACACATTACCTCACACCCCGTGGTGAAGTGAGATGCAGGTGTTCTGTAGGGACAAATTACAGAGTGTACCGACCATTAGGTACGACCTAATGATATCTCCTGCAAGGCGATCCATTTCATGCTTTTTTCACCGTCTAGTGTTTGTCACTTGAAGATAATGAAAGAATTTACGAAGGAATGAAAGGAAGGGCGGGTCATGAGAGGTGTTGGACAGGATTGCTTTGCTTGCTAGTTTTCGATACAGAATACGATGGACTGCATGCGCAACTGGAGTCACCTGTCAAACATTCAGAGCCTTCCCCCGAACACCATCCGACCAAGGTCGGCTAAAATCCTGGAGTATTCTGACCAGATTTAGGTCACCCTACCTTTCTGAACGAAGCAAATTTAACACCCGAATGTTTTAAGCGTTTGTTTAAGAAATATTTGAGAGTAAATAACTCAAGAACTGTTTGACGGATCTTCGTGAATTTCGGCCTTTTGTGGTCGCCACAAGTGTGTTTCCATGTCTACTTTCAAGTTGTATCATGAACGTTTATTACGTCCTCTTAATGTCATTAAGATGTCGAAAAGGACAGAGGAAGAACTTAAGTTATTATCCCTGGGGAAATATCGTTTCTAGTGCCTTCTGGTGATTACGCATTATCATTATTAATATAAATTTGACGGCAAAGGAAATATATAATCCACACATAGACTTAATCATTTCTGTTGTCAAACTTAAACGAAGTAAGTTAGGTTCATTTCTTTGAGTGTATCGATTTGCGTTGATACTAAGTTGTGGAGGACCACCGACAGAGTGGATAGTATTCAGGATTAAATTGCAATTACATGTGGGTTAACATGTTATTAAAGCCGACTTAGGTAGACAACCCGGATATTACTTATAGTGAGTCCGACTCTGCGTTGTCAAGTCGGATGGAATGTGCAATGACATGATAACAGCCGTGTTCACAAAATTGCCCATTAATCAAGCGTACTTTTCATGTACTGTCTGAGAGAGTACTCGCCGGTAAAAGGCAGTGGTGACAGCCGCTGCCAGGCGTGAGTTGTAAAGTGTACTCATATTGCCGGCTATCTCCTCTGGCATGCTATTTGGCAATTTTTGGCTACATAAAAAGTACAAATGTACAAGACACAGTGGTGGCCAACTCTAGCACATTGCTAATATAGCCTCAACCAAGGACAAGATACAATCAATGACAAATACCAAAGCAGCAAACGGGCATTCCAGAATACACAGATATCATGTAAAAAATGGATCATTCTGGGAAATTGAATGTTTCTTGCAGCCGTAGTTTTAACCAACTCCTATCATAACTTCCAGCCACTCATTGCAGACTGGTGCTAGCTAGGCCGCTCTTAGGAGGATACTGACAGACGTTTGCGGTTGAAAACTCGGGAATATTTTCGACGAATGTCAGAAAAAACTCAAGATGTATTTCTGTGTTTCCCATAAAAAGGTTCCACGTTCTAAACAAGCTTTGATTTCAAAAAAATACAAAAATAACACGTACCAAGTATGATTTCTAAAAGATGGCCGGCAGATTTCTCACACTTATTCACTGGATTTCAATTCACACAACAACAACAGTCCAAAGTGGTCGATATGCTCTGCCCTCGACTTTCTGTAGTTTCTAGCTTGCGGTAATCTTCAAGAATGAAACTTCCCCCTGTATTGATCTAACTTCAGCTATAAACCGCTGGTTCTATAGCTAGCTGATGGGATGTACATCCATTTCAACGACCCGCTTCATGTAATGCCCCAAGCCTAAACCATCCTACCGAAAATGTTCTGCCTTCTTAAACATCTGAAAGGCAAATTGCCTTCGGATGTTTTGCGGAATATATAGAAATTTCATTCGGGTGTTGTAGAATGCTTAACATTTGTCGGTAAATACATGTCGGTGTGTTACTTGCGGCATTACATCAGGTGATCGTGGTATGTTGGAAATGGAGCCCTTTGGCTACTAGTTTGGGACAAAAAGTCACCAACTCACCAGACAATCAGCGAAGAACTGTCGCAGCAATGTTGGCCCCAGGTCGGCAGTGCCTGCGGAAGTGCGGAACGATAGAACCGTTGGCCCAAGGACATTGCAATGACGGTTCTGATAAAGGTGACGCATGCCCTTAAATCATGTTGGCATGTTATCATCGGATTCTATAAATAGAGCGCTGCATCCAGCCGGGATATAGCTTCATTTGTCACGCTAACCAAAAACGGCGTCTGCTAAAAGCTTTGAAGAAAGTTACGACTTGTGTGTTCGGAGCGATGGTTCCCAGATTCCCCACGCATGTCTACTGTAGGCCGGGTCTACAGACTGGGATGTGCTGATTACACATAGTCCACGTCATTCAATAGTTCGTGCTTATAAACCTGCTTTTCTGACAACTCCCCAGTGCCACTTACAAAAGGTAGTGAATGTTATCTGAAGCATTTGACCGTTTCGAAAATCATATCCAGCTGCTTGAGTAACTGTTTCTGGCAGCCCCACGTATTCCCTATTGCCAGCTACAGGCATGATAGTATGGAAGGATACTTCTTCATACGGCCCCCGAATGAACTTGATTTCTAAACTTAACTGACTCTTTCATGTTTTATATCTATTGAGATAAGACGAAGTAAAGTAAACTGTCATTAACATAATGGAAAGCACATTACATGATATGGTTTCGACGGTTTTCATGATCATTTACCGCGACCGTCCTGATCTAACGATGAAGCAATGCGGTGAGAACTCGTCGTTTTATCCTGGCTATGGTCGATTTTAAGATTCAAAGGTTCAAAACTTTGACTTACCTCATCTGGCCGTGGTGGGAGAGACCCTCTTCAAACTTGAGCTGGCTTCTGCGGAGAGCCATAAAATAGAAAGGTTAAGTATGACTGTTTCTGAGGTTTGCGTTCTCATATTTTTCTTCTAAGGAAATACTTAAATCTGCTGCATCAATAGTATAATATGAAGCAAGTCGTTTCTCACACATTGAAACAAAAGCTTGTGCAACGCTTTGATCTAGGTTCCTAATATGTAGAGGTACAAGAATGCTCAAATCTCGTTCTGTGTCACTCCTCTAATACGGGACCTTGGCGGCTTGAGCTCCCCACCGAAGAACTGCAATCTCTGAATACCGGCGGTAATGTCAGAATCCTGACCTGCGTCCAGACATGGGACTGCTAACCACTACACCAAACACATCACGGTGAGATAAGTATGTTTCCCCCTCTATGCCCAGCCCTTACGGTTTCGATAAAACTTCATTTTAGAGATTGCTAAAGGAGACTTCAATAACTTAAATAAGGTAACGCTTCATTTCTAAGTTTTATTGGATTTTGTGACGAGGTGGGCGCCATTAAGACACGCCTCATCGCCACTTACTGAGTGATGGCCGATTTGCGGCCTGCGTCCAACGACGTGTTGGCGGTTTGATATCCACAGTTGCTCTAGCGTTTTATTTGACCCAATATCTAGTGAACTATCCAGAATCGCATCAGAGCCGAAATACAAAGGCAGGGGACGCACTTGGGAAACATTACACCGCTCGAATATTGCATTTCGTGTGCGTCTTGAGCAATCAGTGAATCGGATCACTTTTCTTTGATGCAGAATTACTCCGTCGTTCAGATACTGAAGTCGTCCGTCTTTGCTCTAGACATTGTTAAAAGTCAATTTTACACCCTGCGCATGCTGTATATAAAGCCTCCTAACGGCGTTATGTCGGTGTGCTGGCAAAGTTTACAATATGACTCTTGACGTATTGCGAAGAAGTAGCGCCTGTAACAGCATCAATGTCAAGTTGGCAAGTGACCCTGCAGTGCTCAAGCAACAATTTCTTTTCAAATTACGTTACACAGGAAAATTCCACTCCTTGAGCCGATACATCTTAAGGACTAAGGGGCTTTCAAGAAAGTTACATAGCTGCTGCTTTAATTTGGATAAAGCTTTATTAATGAAGGGACGACTTTGCCATGGATTAGGAGATGATTTGTTGATTGCAGATTGGGGATTTTGTCATCCTTAGAGTTGGAGCCTGCCGAGTTTGGAGTCTTCAATTATGGCCATTTTCGTCTCTCCCAATATCCTCTCCAGCTGCATCCTTAGCGATGCCCAGACATGTAGAGGCGAATGTCGGCTTATTTATCACACAGCTCTAGTTAGTGCCGACTGCAGCACATAAGCGCGCCCCCACATACGTTGATCAAATAGTGCTGGTCTTTAAGCCTGGCTGCCTGCGCCGCTACAACATTGCGGATGGATGGGAATTTGTCGACCGGTATGTATGATAGAGTTTGCTGCCCTTCGGAAGCACATGAAAGCCCACTAAGGGATTAGGTGCTGTTACCTACGTCTTTCCGACCGTTCGTTGCTCGCTTTTGACCTTCCAAACTCATCCAGGTGCAAGATAGAAAGCAATGTGACGTCGTTTGCGGAAGATCATGAGACGTAAGCGAAGCCAGGGTTTTCGGAATCCAGCTAACTGAGGCTACGCAAATCAAGACTGACTTAAATGTCAAGTGCAACGCTACCTAATCTCCGCCTTAAGGCCTTGCCTATACTCCTCTCTCTCTCTCCAAACTTAACTCTGATAGTCGAAATACTACAATGTTACGGTTGCTTTCCTGCAAAGAAAATAAAAGGTCAAAACTTGCTTACCGGCATAATCCTGTGAAATCGAAGACCTCGAACGGAATACACAAGTACGATTTGAGATTTCACTCTAATAATTATAAATGAAATTGAATTTTGAGAGACACGCTACTTAAAAAAAAAGAAAAATTGCCGAATTAGGTTGTCTTGTTGTAGGTTCCGGCGGTAGCACGTCTGTCCCCGGCCGGCCCAGGCTCGCTCTGCCGGACGCGGTGATGGCAGGTCGTAAAGAACATCCCTCTCCGTCAGTCCGCCACACAGTGCGCCTGCGCTAATTACATACCTCATGCATTAGTAATCACCCTCTCTCAACGCTTCCAGTCTCACAGGGTGCAATAAAACGTACTTGCGGGTGGCTTGAATTGCAAATACACATCGGGAGGGAATTTTACACAGATTGTGCCTCATTTCGTAACCCTTTCACTGAGCGTCTGCGTATGTTGACCTTTCATATTCAATAAATAATTCACTCATACATTCCGGCAACTCCTGGAAAGTGTGAAGACACCGCTATAACGTCTGAATATTTCATAAACATTCAATATTGAGAGAGGCTAACTCGGATTGTCACAAGACTGGATGTTTAGTCGCATATTATGCATGCCACAGCGAGCAGTCGTGTAATTCTTCCTCGAACTTTTGACATCGTTGTAAACTGACAATAACTTTCATTTTCAATGCCCTATAAATCCCCAGAACTTCAAGGAACGAGAGACAGATACGACATTCCCTTGTTATCTGCCCGTATATCATACCCTGAGCAGGGCAGGCCTTGGACCTTAAATATTTCCCAAAGTTGACGTATGTTTACTTCACTCACCTTCGGATTGACCCCTCGGGCGATTATCGATATCGTAGCGCAGCGAATGTCAGGAAGGCCGATAAGGATTTATCTCCCACCTAATGCATGGATTAGAGGGCTTTAGGAAGGACCAATATGTATACAATGATTTGTAAAAAAAATAGATAAATAAATGCCGCATAAATTTTGGTGTTGCTCCAAGACACTTTCTTCTCTAGTCCAGCAGTATATATACTATTAGTTAAAAATTGTACAAGTCTGTGTCTAAAACTAGTAAAAGCACCAAATTTTGCACACATGTAATTTAACGTATGCTAAACAAAATTAGATTTGGAGCCATCTGAACTTCTGCCAAATAACGATTTTTTTGCTTGTTGGCTATACATGTTTAGCTATAAATTGGTCTGATTTTTCCATCTAGGTCCCTGGACTATATTTACATTTCCCTGACGTTATGACATCTTGTAGGAAGTATTAGTGTAGAAACCCCTAATCTCTCCCAAGAAACGTTTTGTTTTGCCTTATGGCTATTTTCTAACTATGGTCTGATATTTCCATTTATGCCACTGGACTATAATCGTATTCCCCTGGCGGAGTTGTAAGGATTGTAAGGCTTGTCCTATGCTATTGTCCGGCTTGCAAACGTAACCGGACGTTTGGCCGCAGAACGCCATCAAAATAATCCATCTTGTCCTGACACGATATCACCATTGTCAGGCAATGTCAAGAATCTGCCCATGACTTATCTGTAGCCGCTGAAGGGTGATACGGCATCGACACATTTGTTCACTCTGGGAGGGAACAGCCGAATGAAAGGAAAGATTACCAGAATGCTGCGTAGCCTAGAGAGAATATTAAGGTAATATCAACTCTGCTCCTTCGGGGCGCTAGCGCCAGCCACAAACTTCTACCTACCAGCGAACGAGGTTGTTGCACTAAGGAAGAATGATACACATGGTACAACCTCCCTGTCCGGCAATATTACGTTGCAGGCACAAAAAGCAATTGCTAAATCCCAAACTACGTCAGTTCAATATTTTCTCTCGTTTCCCGATAGAACTACTTTACGACGCCGTATATCAACATCGAAGGTGTATGAAATAAGATTCTGAATATTCTAAAAATAATGCAATTCTAAAAATTTTGAAAATTCCATTAAGTCTGAAAGTTACAAAGATTACAAACTCACTAAACATTCTGAAAATTCTTTGAAACTTCTACAAACTATTAACATTCGTAGCATTCTAAAATTCTGAAAATTGTCAAAAATAATATTCGGACAAAATTCTAAAATAAATCAAAAAAATCAAAGTTCTGATAATTCTGAAATGCTAGCGCTACTAGTACTGAACATTCTAAATATTCTAAAAATTGTACAATACTAAAAATGATTTGAAAATTCTAAACCTTTTTTAAACATTCTGAATATTCTGAAAATTCAAAAGTGGCGAAATGTTTAACCCGGAACCAACTCTAATCTTTTACATCGCTGCCGGTGAAACTTGAACGTGACAAATGATGACGTTGGAATAACTACTGACCACAGAATCTCTCCTGCGGTCATTTCATTAAAATACAAAAATTACAGAAAGCTTTGACAAAAAGGAGAGTTTATAGATTTTTCGCCGGACTCTTTCATGTATAGGAAT